AGCATAAAATGACAACAATAATCTCACTTTTTTCAGTTGATTGCACAGGTATATTGTTTCTGTGGCCGCTGGTATTTATTTCACTCACCCAATTTCTTTATTATTATACCCCCTGTGAATTATATAGGTAAAGCATCCTTACATATCCAGAAGCAACAAAAATTTATGAAAGACTCGTCGATTACTTCTATTTTTATAAAGGCAAAAATTATCACCATTTTATAACTAGCGAATGTAAAGTTATATAAAAAGGTAACCGCGAAATGTATAAAACTTTATTATATACCTATTAGTAATAGTTACTCTTGGTTTTATAACTTGGTAATTGAAATATTTATGTCACCTAGTTATATACCTAGAGGTTGGGGGATATTATAAAACCCTTATACAGTGCCCGCGGAAAAGTCTGCACCATATGGGAAATTTTTTTATGCTCATCCTTACTTCAAATCAGTTTTCGGTATTGGGTTCTGCATGACTGAAAACCAAAAAAACACCTAACATTTTTGACTCGAGACTTACCTCACACCTGTCAAATGCCATTTGAAAATTTCAAACAAGGAAAAGTGGCATTTTTATAAAAAAATATGAAAAAATTTTATAAGAAAATATTGCTCCAAATGACATTTTTAGTCTAATTGGATATTTTTACTTTGAAAAATTTCGAATATCTACGGAAAAATAATATTTTTAGGATTTCTTTCGCGACCATTCCTCTAAAATAATTAGTTTGTATCTGACTAATGGTTTCTTAAATCTTAATAATCTAATTAAGAGTTTAAACATCAAAAAGAAATATTTATATTAACATTTTGATACGCCTTTGGACTATTTTGAAAATTTTAGATTTCTCAAATTGAAATTTCAAATTGTTTGTTTATAAACTACTCCTAAATGTCATTTGGAACAATATTTTCTTATAAATTTTTTTCATATTTTTTATAAAAATGCCACTTTTCCTTGTTTGAAATTTTCAAAAGGCATTTGAGGTAAGACTCGAGTCAAAAATTTTAGGTATTTTTTTGGTTTTCAGTCATGCAGAACCTAATGTCGAAAACCGATTTGAAGTAAGGATGAGCATAAAAAAATTTCCCATATGGTGCAGACTTTTCCGCGGGCACTGTATACTAAAAGCACTATTCATTCCTCTTATATACCCTTTATATAATTAGACGTTACCATAAGTAACGAAAATTGTTTATTGGGACGTAAAGCGTAAAAGAGGGATACTTTCATTCATCTCTTGAATATAACAATTAATTAAACGAGCGATAGATCCTGATAGACCAATCACACTTGAAATTACGGGATAATTATTAGATAGGTACCGATAACTTATTATCGGCTCAAAAAATTATCGATAATTTTCAGTTAACTTTTCATGTTACTATAGTCTATTTCATTGCAGTTGATAGTTCAAATCGAAGTTTAGGACCATGAAGTCATTTTAGAACCATTGTAAACCATTAGGTTCACAATGACTTTATGGTCCTAAACCTCGATTTCAGCTATCAACTGCAATGAAATAGACTATACTTACTGATAATCCAGGTATTCTTTCGATCTGAACAAACTGATCGAAGTCACTTGAGGTTTGTTTCAAACAACTGTTATCTGATTTTACTACGATTTCATTGGCTCGAATTGTTTTTTTTTTTGACGCTCATAAACAAATCTGATGTGATTACATCAGTTTGTTGAGTTTGTTCAGATCGAAAAAATCCCTGTAATTATCATCTTACCTGTGCAAACTCTTTATTCAAGCAGAACCCGATAAACTAGACTTTTCATAAATAGAACACAAAGTTCCATAGACAAGGAAAATTGACTGTCATGCATTCTACGGCGTCGCACATAGTTTTTTAATTCATGCTCGTGGTTGTCAGCAGGCAGCGGGAATGAGAGGGGAGCCACACAATTTCTGCCGTCAGACCGCGCTTTGTTGTGTTTAAACGGCTCTATTGAGTTTATTATTGAAAATAGGTCGGTATATAAGTCGAAAGAAAGCCAATTAAAGGACCCCGCACACCTCTTATGGGTTTTTGGTTTTCTGTCAAACTCAATGAAATTTTGATATGTGTTAGACCTTGACTTCCGGATAAAAAGTTCTCATGGGCCCGAACCAATCCTATAATTAGTTTTTGAGATACAGGTACTTTTATGTCCAAGAAATGTATACATTTTATATGTATTCACATCTACCTGTCACCTAATAATAGGTCTGTTTCTGCAAAAATCACAAACTTGTCAGAGCGAATTTGATTGGTCGAAAACAGTCAGAAACAGTCAAAAAACTAGTTACAACCAATGAAATTCACTCAATCGCGCCGTGTCTACGAAGTAACTGATTTTTTGAGCTCTACTTTGATATGTTCAAATAATATATACACTATATTAAAGAGAACATTTTTGTCTAGAATCTAGAAGAAAAATCATTTTATCCAACACATGACAGTTATGACTATTATTATTAATGTCATTTTAGACAAGTAAACTATCAAATAACACACTAGTGTGTTATAATCCATAACTCACTAGTGAGTTATGGATTATAACTCACATTCATATTTAAAGTAGTATTCTGTTTATTAGTGAGTTATGGATTATAACACACGTTCATATTTAAAGTAGTATTCTATTTATTTATTACTATTACAAGCAGAATTCACATTGATATTGAAATTAAAGGAAACGTTAACGGTTTATTCGGATTTGAAGTCATTGGAACCCAGACGCTCCTATATCGGTACACCTGGGGCGAGTTCAGGAATGACACACCCAGTGTGAGTGTGACACCGGTGCGACGCCCCAGCTGTTCAAAAATGCTAGACGGTGCTATGGGCCCAATGGCCAATTGTCAATTCAGGCACACCCATAAAATCGCACTCACACCCGGTGTATTATTTCTGAACTCGGCCCTGCTGATAGTGCTGGAAGACGCCGACGCATAGAATCTTGTATTTTTTTTTGTATTATCTCATAAAAAAACGATTTCTTCTACTTGTTGGATAAAACATTGTATGCCACTCGTGCGTTATGTTTCCTAAGTCACTTGAGAATTTATACCACTCGGCCTGACGGCCTTGTGGTATAAATCTTTCTCGCGTGACTTATTTTCAACATAACACACTAGTACCATAAATAACTATTATTACCTCAAGCGGTTTAGAAGTTATACGAGGTTAAAGTTGGAAATTTTAGTTTCCGTATATTTTTAGTTTGTTGCTCCTAACTTGGCTCTCGACCAATGAAAAAAGTCGTCCATTTCGATTTCATATGCAGAAAAATATGCTGAATCATCTGATACTAGTCCTAATAAATTATACCTCAATACCGGGTTGCTCTTTAAAACGAAGGCTTTTACGCGCTTGGCGGCCGTCCTACTAGCCCCTATTCTGAGATAATATACAGTGTGTCCGTAAAGTAACCAGAAAAGTAACGGATAATTTCATTTAAAATTCATATTATATATTTTTATTTTTTTTTAGAAAAATGCTCAGACACGTCGATCTTAATTTATATAGTGGCGCTGTTTTTGAACTAATTTGTATTTATACAAGGTGACGCAAAAACGAGATGTCACATGAATCTTCACTTTTTTAAATAGAATGCCCTGTATATTTTGATGAATATCCATAGAGCGAGAATATAAGTACAGTGCATTCCATTTAAAAATGTAAATAACAACAAAATATAAGCAGGTAGGTAAACTTAAAGTACAGGGTGTTTTTTTATATATTGACACCCCATCTACACCCTTTACCTTTACAGGTACATGAAAAGTGTAAATACAAAAGTTGTACAGTATTGACTAAATTTTTAGAATCCATGGTCAGAAACAAAAATTGAATGTCAGAAATATGAAATGTTGCATGCTTTCAGCTTTTTTCAAATGGGATGCGCTATATTTGGTTCTGTATCTTGAAGAGCACAATTTCCCGATTCCAAAATTATATAGTTTGTTTATATTTAGTTGAGCTGTCTCCAACATATTTGGTTCTAAAAATACTATCAGAGATGAGAGAAACCAAGATACTTTTAACTAATAATTTCATGGGGAAAAGGTACCCTAAGAGAAGGGCTTTGTTCCTATATGAAACAAAATAACCGGCTAGTAAAATTAATTTGATTCCTTGGAGAGGGGGGAAATCTTTAATTTGGGATGCCACTTGCAAGGACACGCTTTGCAGCTCCTATGTTGGCAAAACTTCCGAAAAATCAGGAGAGGCGACCAAGATAGGAGAATTAATAAAAAGAGCCAAGTACAAAGAGTTAAAAGACAGAGGGTTTTTGTTTTGCACCTTTGCAGTGGAGACGTTAGGTCCATGGGGTGATGAAGCTAAAAAATTGGTGTCTGACATAGCAGCCAAAATTAAAACAAAAAATGCTAGAAGCTTCATGACGCAGCGGATCAGTCTCGCAATTCAGAGGGGTAATGCGGCCTCCATATTGGGGACCTTACCTGAAGAATCCGGTTTAGAAGAGGTTTTTTATTTATAGTTTTATCAATTTTATTTCATATTTTTAGGTTATATTAAAAGATGGCCATTAATTTGCAAAAAAGAAAAATTAATTATTATAATACAACAGAGAGCTTTTTTTAATCCAGCAATCAATTTTCTCTCTAATTTCAAAACATATACCTACTACCTACTGACCCATTATTATTTAAAAAATTACTTCTTCGGTTGCGTCAAAAGAAACTTTCCAGGGGTTCACATACACCCCACCAAATTAAACAACAAAGAAATACGTGATTTCGTTAGGCAAATTACCATCTGAATTTAAACGTATTAGTTTGAAATAAAGTTAAATTGAATTTTCTTATCGGGTTTGGACCGGTTGTGGTTAAGTCGAGTGTGTGATTGGGTCCCAGATGCCCTTTAACAAGGTATTAGATTACATGTAATTTGGGCTTCTCTAACTGGAAAATTGCTTTTCCGCTCTGCTTGTAAAAGTTTTATATAAAAGCAGTAGGTTTTAGGTGCGCTTTATTCAAACCAAGTTTAGTCTCAGTCGCGCTAGCAGTTAAAAAAGATTCACCATACAAGCCAGAACATTTTTAGTTTTTCCACAATGAAACCGTTCAAACCTACAACTAATGGCACTTTTGCCTTACTGATTTTAGTTTGTTTATCCGGAACTTATTGTGCCAATGATAAAGAAGAATATTCCAGAAGAAACCCTGGAAACTTTCCTCAAACAAGATTGATTTCCTATGACGTTAGGGCCGATTCACGCCAATCCAGAATCGATTCCAGCGACATCCGGACTGATTTCAGAGAGATCAGAAACGAATTGGAAGATCAGACAAATGGAAGATTAGCTAGACAAACTAGGATGAACAGGCAAGTTCGTTTTGAGCAAGCAAGGTCTGGAGATAGAAGTATGTCTGATAGAAGAACAGAAGAACGCTCCAGACAAACTAGGACGATTAGAGAAGATCGTTCTGATTCAAGAAACAGAGAAGCAAATCGAATAAGGCTGTGTGAAGATAGAAATATGTCTGACAGAAAATCAGAAGAACTTTCTGAAGTTTCCAGACAAAGAGAAACTCGTTCTGATTTGAGAAACGGAGAAGCAAATCGAATAAGACTGTCTACTGAAGATAGAAATATGTCTGATAGAAGATCAGAAGAACGTTCCAGACAAACTAGGACGATTAGGGAAGATCGTTCTGATTCAAGAAACAAAGAAGCAAATCGAATAAGGCTATCCGAAGACAGAAGATCAGAAGAACGTTCTGAAGTTTCCAGACAAAGAGAAGCTCGTTCTGATTTGAGAAACAGAGAAGCAAATCGGAATAGAAATATGTCTAATAGAGAACGATTTGATTCTTCTAGACAAACTGGGCAGGCACGATCTGATCTAATAGGAGAAGCAAATCGAAGAATTATTTCGAACGAGAGATTATCTGAGTCTAGACAAAATAGACTCGGAGAAGCTGCAATTACAAGAGAAAGATCTGAGAATCTTGAAACAATTAGACCTTCTGAGTCGTTTACAAACATTTCAGTAATAAGAACAATTCAATCTATTTTGCTTGTAGCCGTTATAGGACAGCTGCTGGGTAATGGTTCCAAGAAGAACCCTATTCGGTAAGTAATTGCTTACCAGCTCCCTTAAACTAATTATATTTGTTTCAGATCATGGCCCATATTTGCAAAAGTATATTAATCTGACTAAATAATATATGACGACTTTTAGCAATGCTTCACTGGTACCTTCTTTAGTCTTAAGTATAGATTTATTAGAAATACCAACTTTTAATTAAGGCAAAACCTTCACATTGTTTCAAATATTTATTGGAAAAAATATAATACATTATCTTGTAACTAAAGAGCTTGAAACCAACGTCCTGATATCGAATTTACTTTCCTCATTTTCCGAGCCTGAACTATCGTTTTCTATATAATTGTAAGCGAGCTTTTTCTTAGATTTCCTTCTACAACCATCGAAAGCTACCTTAAAGCACAACCCAAACAAGGTCAAAACTAACCCAATTGCAAACCCATAAAGCACATAATCGTACCAGCTGTAATCCAATGGGTCTTCAATTTTTGGTACCAAAGGTTCCAAGGTAACTTGGCTGTCAATGTCTTCCGATGTCAATTCAGTTGAAAGCCCCTCTTTAATACTCTGATCCAAATCAGCTCCAATTTGATGAAACACAGTCCTACCCAACCAGTCAGCCAATTCCAACTTGCCCATTTGCCTTAGCCTGTGCTCAAGCACCGTATGAGTTTGTCCTTTGCCTTCTAAGGAATTCCAATGGTACAAATGTTCCAAACAAGTAACATCTTTCGGTACTTTGCGCTCGGCTTGATCGAGCGCGTTCGGTTCGTTGTAGCTTTGAAAATGGGCCGAAGCCACCAGCCTTCTACATTCTTCGGGAGTCAAATGGTCTGCGAGGTATTGCAATTCTGAGGCGTTTATGTCGATGGTAGGCTGCAAATTCCAAGGTAAACACGTAATAATTATAATAATAATTGTGACAATCATTATGTCACGCTGATGAGAATTGAAATTAGATTCAAGGTCCTGCAGACTTAATTAATTTATTTGAAATGTTCCTGCAACTGGTGCGCAAATATTCGAGCGGCAAATTGTGGCAAGAAGTCTCTATACCGGTATCGTGGGGTGAAATTTGAGGCAAATGGTGGGGCCCCACTGACATCAGGCCTGAAGAATTCCATTTAAATTATGAGAAATGTTAAAAAATTATGCGAAATTATATTGTAATTAATTATATTGGAATTATGTGAAATTTGATAGAAATTTTGCGAAAATATATTGTAATTTCTTTTGGAATTTCCAGGTATAACATGGAACTTCATTTAATTTCAATAAAATATGTGAGAAATGACAAGTTTAAAAAGCAAAATTACATAGAAATTATGCCGAATTCCATAGAAATTATGCAAAATTTCCTAAAATTCACGTGAAATTCCATTGAAATTACATAGAATTTCAAATAGGTATGCTAAATCCCATCAAAGTTATGTGGAATTCAAATGGATTTAAAGGAGTAATGACGTAGAATATTCCAAAGAAAAAATAATTAATTTTGGGAAAATTACATGGAATTCTATAGGAATTTTGCAAAATTCCATAAAAATTATGCGAAAAATTATAGAAATTATGCGAAATTTCAGTGAAATTAAATGAAATAAAAAATATGCAAAATTTTATTGAAATTATGCTGAATTACAAAAAAAAAAAAACGTTTAATTTTAAAAAAATTACATAGATTTCTATAGAAATTATGCGAAAATTCAGTGAAATTAAATGGTATTCTGGGATAATGGCGTAGGATTCCAAAAAAATCGTTGAGTATCAATTAAATTACATTAATAAAAAACCCATAGAAGTTATGTGGAATTCCATAAAAATTATGTGGAATTCCATAAAAATTATGCAAAATTCCATAAAAATTATGCGAAATCCCGTAAAAACTATGAAAAATTCCATTGAAATTATGCTGAATACCATGGAAATGATGCCTAATTTTATACAAAGTATGCAGAATTTCATTAAAAATATGCCAAATCCCATTAAAATTATGCGGAATTCTAGTGAAATTAAATGGAAAACGCCATAAAATTCCAAAAAAAGCATTGACTTTGAAAAAAATCAAAATCCCATAAAAATTATGGGGATTTAAGTTGTATGGAATCCCATAAAAATTACCTATGCGAAATTTCATAGAAACTATGCAAAAGTTCAAAGAATTTCTGCAGAATTCTATAGAAAATATTTAATATTCTATAAAAACTATGCAAACTTCTACTGAAATTATGCGGAAATATGTGGAAACTATGCGGAATTTCATAAAAATTGTGTGCAATTAAATAAAATTTCGGTAAAGTTTAATAAAATTCCAAGGATACGACGTAGAACTCCAAACAAAAATATGTGGAATTTCTGTGGAATTCCGGTAAAATTATGAAATTCCGATGAAATTGCATTAATTTTCCTGGAGTTCCAAGTAATTTCTCCAAAATTGTAAATTATTCTCGTGAAAAAAAAAAAGATGTTACTTAAAATTCCTGTGAATTTCTGAGGAATTCCTGTGAAATTTCTTGCAATTACAGAAAATTTTCTTGAAATTACTTGGATTTTTAGTAGAATTTCAGAGAATGTTTATGGAATTACAAGGAATTCTAGTGTACAATTTTTTTTTTTAAATTTACAAAAAAGAAGAATTTTTCCAGTACATTTCAGAGACCTTGACAGCGTCGTTACGGTTGTACTGAATTTTACCTTATACTTTAAAATTCAGGCAAATTTTCATTAATCAATTAATAATCATTATTGAAATTTGAAATAACTAATAAGAAATAAGCTACTAACAACTTACTCAGATATCAAAAATCTTGTGAAATTATTTGGCAGTGGAATTACGTGGAATTCCAATGAAATTCCATTAATTTTCCTAGAATTCTAGAAAATTACATGAAATTTCTCGTGAAATTTTAAATAGTTCTTGTCAAATTATATATATGGAAGTTCAGTAAAATTCTGGTAAAATTATGTGAAATTTCGAATAAATTTCAGTGGAATTCCATTTATTTTCCGGAAATTCCACGTAATTCTCCCGAAATTCTAAGTTATTCTCGTAAAATTCCAAAAAATTCTCGTTTAAAAAATTACATTAAATTTTCATGCAACTTAAAAAAAAAATTGTAAAATTATTTAGAATTATAGTGGTATTACGTGCGGGATTCCGGTAAAATTATGTGATACAGCGAAAGAATTACGACGAAATTTTCCGAGTATTCGACTCAATGCCTCTAGAATTTTAAGTTATTCTCGTGAAATTCTAAAAAATCTCCATGAAAAAAATCCTGTAGAGTTACATGAAATCCTTGTAAAATTCAAAAAAGATATTCCTTAAAATTATGTAATTTCAGTGGAATTTTGAGAAATTTCTATAGTATCATTTGGAATTCTCGTAAAATTGAAAGAAAAAATCGCAAAAATTTCCGTAAATTACATAAAATTCTTGTGAAATTACTTAATTTTTTTGAGTTCCCAAGAATTCTCGTGAAATTACATGGAATTTCCGTGGAATAATTGAAAATTTAAGTGAAATTATGAAAAAATATGAAATTTTCGTGAAATTCCGAAAAGTTCTTGGAAAATTACTTGATACTTAAGCAATATTCCTGTGAAGTAAATCGGAATTTTAGTGAAATTTAAAAAAAAAATGTGAAATTCCAGAAAATTTCTTTAAAGTTGCTTGTAATTCCCGTGGAATTGAAAAAAAAAAACCTTCCTGCGGAATAACTAGAAATTCCATAGAATTTCCATGAAATAAAAAAAATCCTGGAAAATTAAGTACTCGAAATTATAAAAAATTCTTTGGTAATTTTACTGAAATAAATTTACTTGAATTTCTCCTGAAATTATTTGGAATTCTAGGAAAAATTTGAAATAATTCTCGTGAAATTCCAAAAAATTCACAAGAAACTACTCAAAAAATCGTATAAATAATTAGAAAATTCCAAAAAAAATCGTGAAATAATTTTTTAAATTTCAATAAAATATCAAGGAATTTTTGTTAAATAACTCAGAATTTCAGTGGAATTCCAAAAAAATTTACCTGAAATCACCTGAAATACTCATGAACTATCGAAAAGAAATTTGTGGAATTACATGGAAATCCAAAAAAATCCTGTGAAAATACAGAAAGTTTCTTTGAAACTAATTGAATTTTTCTCGAAATTTTTATTGGATTTCCGAAGAATTTTTAGGGAGTTCTGGTGTGCAATTTATGAACATTTTACGAACATTCCCGGAACATTCTATAGACATTCCCAGAATATTCTTCAAAAATTTTCCAAAAAATAACATGTTGAAACATTCCTGAAACATTCTATAAACATTCCTGGACCATTTTATAAACATTTCTGAAATATACATTGCAAATTTTTCAAAAAAAAAAACATGTTGAAACATTTTTGGAACATTTTATAAACATTCCTGAAATAGACGAATTATTTCAAAAATAAATTGAAATATTTTTGTCTTGATAGGATATTCTACAAACATTCTATAAACATTCCTGTAAGGGTATCCCCTTTGAATTCTAATTTCAAAATATTCTAACCTCAATTGCTCGGTAATCGTTACGTTGAGCAAATTGCATTGAAATTTTCAACATTTGTACATTTGTAGCTCTTATTAGGCTCTAAATGGCCTGCAATTTACAATATTCCCAGATGTATAGTGTTGTGGAAACAGCCAAACAATCGTATTTATTTTTTATGATCACAGTGGCAACGTTGCAAAAAAAGCCCCCCGCCGTGAAAACTTTGCCGCTGGCGCCGTACCAGGCTGTACTGCATCGATCCAGTCTGGTTGTTGTCGCTAAGGGAAAAATGCATTCCTTATCTTTTTCACTTCGCAGTGTGATTTTAGCAGTGTGATTTTAGTAGTGTGGTTTCACTAGCAGTAAATAGTGCGTAAAAACGTCTAGCTCTATACAAGTTTGAACCTGCTCACTTTTCTCTAATTATTTAATTATTCTCTCTAGTTGCACGCTTGTGCAATCTCTCTCTCGCTCTCTAAATAAAAAAACTTATTTTTTATCTCTCTGGCTGCTGGCTTGAAAACTCAAGTGATATAATATCGCGTAAAACATTGAGTTAATCACACTCCCCTTTTTTAAGGGCTCTCTAAAAATATAAAAACTCTCAACTCCCGAAGATTTCTATTAAGAATAAACTTTATCTTGTGCTCTCAACTAAAATATTAGCGTTCCGCTAATACTGACAATTATTGTTAAATTGACTATTGAGCACTTACAACTAGTGAATTTATACCGATTAGTGAATGTTCTCGAATAACTCAAATGCGACTTGTTAACTAACCTGTGAATAATTAAAAGTACTTGAATGTGGTTACAGTATTTATTACTTTATTAAACGATTATTTTGGCAACAATAGAGAGATATAAAACTGGAAGTGTGAGTGCATTATTTAGCAGTGACATCCCCATCCCCTTTATGATCCAGTGATCTATCCCTAAATTAAATGTTGACACCTCAGTTAGAGGCCCTAACATATAGTTTTTGAGCAAATTGAGCTTGAAGTTTTTGACAAAATTTGGACTATAAAGCAATTTTGAGGGTTAATTGCTCAAAAACCATTTGAGCTAACTAACTCAAATTTGCACGACTCTATAGAGAATTTAATGCTCTCTATAATGATATATAATTTTTTCCAATGTGCTCAAAATTTAACAAAGATATTAGTCAAGATTTTGGAAATTTCCTAGAGCCAAATATAGGATTTTTTTTTCTTGCTTGAAATGGCCATTTGGAATTGATGTCAGGGTTGTTTCGACTAATTTTAACCCGTTCTATCGATTGGTAAAGTTAAAATTGAGTAAAACTGAAAAATAAAAAAATCAAGTTTTTCTTAAGGATGCCCCCTTTGAATATACCTATCTATTTTACCAGACAAAGAGGTATTAATACGAAAACTTTATTAGATAGAAAAAGACGCAGAACGCTTATTGCGCAAGATGACGCAAAACGTACCAAATTATATTAGACCTACGTGTAGCAATCCGTTGTTATTATTTGCACGGGATGAAAAAGGAAGGAGGAAAACCGCGTGACATGCAACGTATTTGTCAATCAAAAACACAAACAATTGACCTTTTGTTTGGACGCCATCTTGTGATGCGCGAACATAGTTGCCAATAGTAGAAAAAAAAAATTACTAGCGTTCTTTCAACTTTAAAATCCAAAGTTAGTGAATAAATTACATTTAAAATTTAAATTTGCCGCCTATTACGAATGTTTTTGGGAAGAAAAGCCATCAATTTTAGCTTGTAGTGGGCAGAATAGAAATAATAAAATATCTAGTTGACAGCCCGCTAGTAATTTTTGGTTTTCTTGTTTTGACAACTACCTATGTTCGCGCACCGCAATATGGCGTCGAAACAAAAGGTCAATTGAGAATCCATCCACTTGTCAGGCTACGTCAAGTTGAATATCAAGCATAATTTTATCCTTGTCAGACCTCGGGCAATGAACAAAGACAAGGAGATGCGCAGCGTGCAAAAGGATTACTTCACACCTGTACTAGTTAGCCAATAAAAATGCATTGCCTCGTGTTGCGCGTGCATACAGGTAAAAATAGATAGGTCTATTCCCCTGTCTATTCTGATTTGAAAATATTCAAACTTTAATATATTTTTA